CAACTCTTTCCCCCCCCCTTTTCACCCCAACGCAGCAAAATGACAAAAAAAAGCCGCGGCCGCAAGCGCCGCGCGGGATGGAAACCGCAGAGCCCGCTTCTGCAACCGCAAAGGAGAAACACAACAAAAACGAACACAAGAGGTAGCTTCAGAACCGACACCCCCGGCCCCGCGGGGCCGGGCAAAAAATACCAGTTTTGGTAAGGATAATGCACAACGGGAGGCCGGCAGGGACGCTGCCGCCGCACCGCCCCTCCACCACCAGCATCGGGCACGCGGCTCGCGCCTTCCCGGCCACGCTGCCCCCCGTCCCCCCCAAATCAATAAAAGCTCATGAGGTCACAAAAAAACGAGGTAATTTCAAGTAAAATGTGCTAAACGCGGAAATATTCCAAAAGAAAGTTCAAAAAAACCGAACGAAAAGCAAAGAAAATGGCGAGCGAAGCCACCGGGCACCCCTCGCTTGCGGGCTCCTGCAGCTGAGGGCTGGGCAAAAAACCACGCTCGGCACCTTCCAGGCACCCCAAATTAGCAGAAAAAAGAGCATCCGCCCGTTCGGAGCGATGCCGCGCACCAGCGGCACCCACGCCGGCACCGGCATCGACCGCACGTCACCAAACTGGCCGTGTCTCCCCATGGGGGGCTTCGCCCTCGCCCCCAGGGAAGGCGGGGAAGGAAGGGGAAATGCATAGAGAGGTCTTTGGTCAGGGGGAGGGCGGCAGCCTCTGGGTGCCCCTCGCGCCCACCCAGACCCCGGGGCAGCACCGCGAGGCAACCCAGCTCGCACCCGGTTCCCTACCCCAAACACCCTCCTCCGGCCGGGATCCACCCCCCGAGGATGCTCTCGCCGAAGCACTTACGGCTCGCCGGACGCCGGCGCTCTCCCACCTCCGACGCCGCAGCCCGGGAGCGCGGGAACCCTCCCAAAACGGGGGCTGAGCCCCACGCGGAGCCGTGCCCACGCGTGAGCTGGGGTCCTCAGCGGGGCATCCACGGTCGGGTCTATGCGGTGATAGAGGAAACCAGAAATTAAAGCCTTCCCAAAGCACTGGCCATACACGCACTTTCGGGGAAGCGTGCCGCTCCTACACGGTCTTCCCGGCAGCGCCGGTGGCCGGCACCAGTGGTGATGGAGGGGCCGGCTGGGGGG